CAGTCATTACGAAGTATTCAAACGTATTGCCTTTTTACCATTAAGTATAAGAAGTAGTGTTAACAAGGGCGGATAAAACTTGAGAGTCTTGATAAAGGAGAACTGGCTTTCAAATGGATTAATGTGGTATAAGGAATCAGCATTATTGCAATATTAGCTAACAGAGTAAATACTACAGAACTAATATGTGCTGACTTTTTTTTGGATACGAAAAGGTTTCGAGGCACGTTCTACAAACATCTTTGATGTATGACTGTGGTATCTAATTCCTCTGTTCTGTGTCTTATGCAGTGGAAGGATGGCACCAGTCGGATGGAAAGACATCACGAAAGTGGAAACCACACTGACAGTTATTGCCTGGATCTCAAAGGGAGTCCACGGATAATTACTGACAGGCTTAGAGTTGCCTCAACGTTGGTTTATTCACAACAGCGTAATGAAATTCATCGCTGCACATTGAATTGCGGTAACGTTCACGACTAACTTATGCCATATGGGGTATGAGTAAAACATGAAAACTGACTCCCTAATATGCAATGATAACCTGAAAGACTTAATTAGAAAATGCAATAGCGTCTTTCAACACAAGGTAAAACCCAAAATGTCTGACACTGTATCACTGTGAGCAGTTAGTATCTGCTGTGCCTTGTAATGTATTCTTGTGTGTTTATAGTGTCTTAGATATCATGAATCAGGAATAAAGGTCGTACTATGCAATGTATATGACATTTAGGATACCGAAACAAACGAGGTGGAACCTTCTTAATCATATTATCATATTAGCATTCTTATAATACCGCCGTCATATAGCTGGCGTATTGCTGAGTGCGGCGTTAAACAAAAAACAACAAAACAAACATTCTTATAATAATCGAATGTTTAGAGCGACTGATATATTTTCATTCACTAAAGTAACTTTAGACACCTCCCACAATACAATGCATGTGTGACCGACCTATTTATTACATTGTGTATAATTACAGAAACATCCACACATCTGGCAACCCCTATCTAAACTTTCTTTCACGCCAGGCAATAGTCTTGCCATCACGTTGGCACCTAATTGATGTATGGAGATTTTTAGAGGATTTTATGGGATCATGATACCCAGTTTATCAGATTGGTTTATCGCATCGATAACACTAGTCTTTATATGATAATGTATTGTGTTGAATAAGGTTGTAGAATCTGAGATGGACATAAGCAAATAAACTTGGTTACAGCTAGAGTCAGGTGCACCAGTACTCATTAACTACTGTAAAGATTGCAGAACCCTACCCCATGCTGGCCATTAAGTTGGGATGGGCGTCGGCAATACCGGACGAGTGGGGAATGACTTGGAAAGGGTTTTGACGCTTTTATTTGGCAGTGCTGTTAAGTCATGCTGATTATGTGAAATTGTGCTCATAAGTCTTTAAACGCTGCTCTCACTTTCGGCAACATGGTCGGTCGCTGTGTCAGAAATATTGGTGTTCCAGAAACCCATTCCCTCTTCATACAAAACATCCTTAACTTCGGGATCAATGACGTTCATACACTTCTACGAGGTAATTTAATTTTAATATGGTAAGGATAAAATTATTATATCATAGTGTTATTGAGTCAACAATATAACTGAACATGTTTACAAACGTTACTTAAACGTATAAAGTGTAAGTGAACCTTCTACGTACAATCTTGTGAAATTACAATGTGTGAATCACAACAAATCTGTTGACAATGAACTCTAAGTATTTACTATAAGTAAGTTATTTAATATTTTCGACGAGGAGAACATCACGGTCCTACTGTCGAACAGACAGTATGTCTTTTAAAGCGACAAAAGTAAATAGGTTATTGGATATGAAATCATATTTGCTCCGACAAACTATGCAAACATATTCCAAATTCCTCTGTGTTGACAACCAATTCGCAAATACGTGCTCTGTCGCCATATGCCCTCCTGGATTAATATCGATGGTTTGTATACACTTGCTACGTTTGTGGTCCCATTTTGGCACAGAGCTTTCCGTGATCACAACGCAGAGTACATCTTAAAGTGGCCACTGGTGTCTGCAATGCGTTGAATCTGACCACTCTTCAAAACATGGCCAGTGGGGTGTAAATATTTGCTTTATCACTGATCATCTGACTAGACAATCAATACCAGTCACACATATAGTCCACCTAGCCTTCAGTTCTCATATGCTGTAAACCAGCCTTCGGGCGTAGATAATAAGGGATTGAAACGAAGGTTCGGCGTCTTCAACACTCCCTTGGCAAATTCAGAACCATTATAAAGATGTCCACAAGGACGACCACAATCGATAGCAGAAGAAAGCTCAATTAAATTAGCGAATTGGGCCTTGATTGTCCAGTTGAGGCTGTATACTAAATGCAAGATTTATAGATCGTATGGTAAAGGAAGGAATTGATTAGTCGCATTGAGGTGTGACAGTAAAGATCGACTCATAATTGTGCATGCACTTGGATGTGGGATAATAAGCTTTGTGTCGGAGCGGGGAACAGATGCTCACTTCATTTTCACGTGTTAATCAATGACATGTCCAAATATATCATACGTCTGGTCCCTTAATCGTGTCCCTTGTGTATTTTACCATCTACTTTCTCAACAATTTAAGAAGACAGCTTCCGTGGTCTAGTGGATAGAGCGATTGCCCGGAGAGCAGAAGGTCGGTGGTTCGATAGCGGGGACGTCATAACATAAAATGGTACTTGTTGTTCCTCTGCATGGCGCTAGGTATTACGCGGATAAAACAGTGCCTTGTGAGATTGGAGTAATTATACTGTGTCTATTTGGGTTATCCATGTTACATGGTATCTCGGTGGGCTAGCACCATAAAATGACATTAGTCCCGACCAGTATAAGGAGACATATGCTCTTTGCTAAATAAGTGCAATAATCGTGAACGCGATGTTAAACCGGATTTGTATTTCACCACGTGTATACGTGAAGATGATATGTTTCGTTATGGTGGAATGTAATTGTGAGAATAGAAACAAAAATGTTAAACACGAAAGTCATTCTCATATATAGAACTGCAACGAGTGGGTATTTGCATTCTCGTGCACAAGTGGGGATTTAAATATTATCAATACAGAAACTATAATTGCTTTGGATTAGTCGCATTGACTACTAACAAATAAAGACAAAGACGTGTGGAGGGAATTTATTACTTGGGGCGTTGATCAGATCCAATACATGTAAATGAGCTACACAGCTAGCAATTACGACCTTTTGATCATAAGCAAGAACGACAAGGAAAGTTTCAATTCATTATCGCCAAAGCTGTGTTCATCCCCGATTGGCTCCTCAACACAGTGTGTGTTATTGAAGAGTTGATGACGCTACCTTAGACTAAAACAAGTTTAATTTCAGTTGGCCTCTAGCAACTGAAATGTTGACAAATACGGCTTTGAAAACTCTGTCCAAATGTCTGATGAAATAAATTTATTGCAAATCTTCCAAACACGTTCCAATAGGTGTATTTGTGTACGGATTTGTTTCGAGGCTTACAAATCCGATATTAACAAGAGTATGCATGCAAAAACATAATTTATATTAGTAAACGTGTTCTTACCAATTTACATCAAACACATATTTTTAACAACAAATTAAGTTTTCGTCATTAGTTTAGCTTTGGAGACTTGTCCCTTTTATTCTCAAAATTGGATCTGAGACCAAATAACTGAAAAAGACGCGATTTCTTGCTAAGATAGACAAGCTAAATATATGAGTAACTTGTGCGCTTTATCGGAGCCGACAGTTCAATTAAATGCCCTACTAATGCCCCTATGTAGGGTAATAGGTTTCTCTCAGACAAAGGTAATGAACTGTGAAGCTTACTGACCACCTTCTCTAATGTAGTATGACATTTTGATTTACAGCATATGGACTGTCAGAGATGACAATCAGATCACACAAGCTATACTGGAATTTTTTAGTAGTTCGATATTGTAAAACTAAAACTAGAAATCTACAATTTAACATTTTAACATTTGTTTGGATGGGTAAACTTACACATATTTTTCCAATCGTTATGAATCCAACTGAATGTGACATTTCCAGGAATAATGGTTCATCTAGTGTAAGTCAAGAAAAATCATTAAACATTTTATGCATTCTGTGTGCAGATGCGAGTTTCCATGATACGTCTCCGGTGCACGCCTATTTCGAGCAGAAAACAAATCAGCTTTTCAAACTCATAAATCAAAAGCCATGAATTGACAAATATTGACTGATTTAAGTGATCTGCCCCATGTCAGGTGTAGTTACATGCAAGAGGTATGTGAGTAGCATAACGCCAAATCACTTCCGGGCACGTGCAAGATATTTAATGCAAATGACAGGTTTCGGGTAGTTGTCATGTAAAATTAAAATGAGCTTTGTGTCAGCTGTTACACGAAATAAATACTAACCGTAAATGCCAGAGTATAACTAGTTTCGAATAGCTGAAATGAGTCCATTGGGCGAAAAGGACAAAATAGCGGTAAAAAAATATATGAATGGATCACTGAAAATCAGTGAGGCCACCTTTTTTTCGCGAAAAGGGTGTGCATGTCCTGCTCTGCTGATATGCATTTCACTTTAATTAGAAGCAATACCGACAGAGTGGTTCTACGCAGTCGGTCTAAGTATTAATTTTACGAGCTGATATGATTTATTATTATCATAGATTTATTGCTCTGAATCATTTTAAAGAGACCTACAACACTATTCTATTTGATAGTATTAATGTCCTACACTATTGGTTATCCTTACATGTAGAAACGGAGCAAACAAGTAACGTTATCTTTTCGAAAAGAATATTTATAAAACAGTATCAATTCAATGAAAAATGCCCAAAACCCATACAAATTGAGCTATTGTGATATCTCATATAAGATTTTTTTTTTAATGATTTAACTTAATGTTAACTCCTGCTACGAAAATCGAAGAGGGATAAACCGGTTATATTGTAACTGCTTTACTGGAGTAAGAAGATGGCAGTAATTCTTACCTCACAAAAGCAAAGGGTAATCAGTCATCGGACCTCAGAAGCACTGATGAACATCAAAGTTCGTCTGTTGCTGCTACAATCTTGCTTCGGCAAACTGAAGCCTACTCAAACCAATGCCACACTTCCTTGTAGTTTATCGACTGTAGTGACTAGCAGCTGTTCCTAGCTCACCCCTCCGACTGCACACATCGACCAGTTGTATGAGCCTGTAGGAAGTGCCCGCAACGGAAGATGGGGATCTGGCTGTGATTTTTGCATATGTATCAAATACAGATCGTTACCTTCACTTGATTCATAGAAATTAATGTTCGAATGAGGGAACGGTTACACAAAGCAAAGAATAATGATTGATACAGGGGAACTTATTTATACCAGATTCAATGCTCAACTATTAGGATGCGTATGGGAATGGTGAAAATTCTACATGACGATTAATACATAACGCAAGAAAGCAAAAAGTTACTCAACTGTTCCGTCAAAGCAGTAGTTAAAGGCACATAAATGAATACGTGTCATTCACATGCATCAATTCAGGGGATGGAATCATATCCATAATGTAATCATTGTATTACGGGTTAATACATTAATAAGACAGACAACCAGAATTTAAGGGGTCTTTTCTATCACATTAGCTTGAAGCCTTTCGGAGTTATAATCCAGAGTGTTTCTGTGATCCATTTGTGTTAAGGCTAATCTGAAAATGGCACAGCTGCACTCACGACTGAGTACGTAGGGCAGCAGTATTATTAGTTTTAGTTCTCCTGGTTGTTCGTTGTATATATTGATTACCAATGTATTGTGGTATTTGGCTATAACGTTTGTTTTCCGTTATCGTCATGAGTGGCCAAGTGCTAAAGGGGCTTAATAAAGACACTCTGAACACCATTTCACTTATAACACGCCATGTGAATTTAATGTTCGAGTAGAAAGTTAAAAAGAGGTCGGAGACGTTTAAACTATTCAGGAAACACACGGGTATGGTGTGGACAAACCGAGCGACATAAATAGGATGATTCTGAATCGGATGGAGACCGCAACTATGCACAGCGAACTCGGATGCCTAAGAGCATTAGACTAACAGTACAGCCTTCTTCTCCGTCAAAGGGTTATGATGCAACAATATTTATTGTATTTTGACTATACACGTGGCCACCTTTCCTTTTACTACTGATTAAAAGAATATTGATCAAATGTAACTTATGTTATATTTGGGATTAAACCATCTTACCTAAGTGCAAATTCTAGTACCTTTTTGAGTGGAGTCACTGGCACGGTTCCCATGGCCAAAGCTATGAATAGACAAAGCTTTTCAGAAAGTGGTCAATAACCCATCCTGTTATAATTGGGAGCCCTGCTAATTTACACTCATCAGGGGGATACACAAAGTACGTGATCTGTACTACCTAATTGGGCGATCAGGTGCGTTACTCTGAGAGTGTCAGTTCGAATATGGGATAGGACTCCATCCCACAAAAGCACAGTGCAACCTGTTTATAATGCCTACATTGTTATGATACCACGTTAGTTGTTGCAACGGATGTCTATGTAGAAGAATGAATGAATGAATGAATGAATTTCTTTATTTCCTCCAGAGTTGAATCCGAAGATTGTACATGGGCAAGTACATTATTTACAATACATCAATGAAATTACTTGACTATATACAAAGAAATCATGTTATACACTGCTATGAATAAACAATTTACAATGTACATTTTGAGAGCAGTAAGGTATCTAGTAGATATACATAAGGTATTTCTTTAAATTCCATATGAAGTGGGCGGTCGGGTAGCCTAGTGGTTAAAGCGTTCGCTCGTCACGCCGAAGACCCGGGTTCGAATCCCGACATGGGTACAATGTGTGAAGCCCATTTCTGGTGTCCCCCGCCGTGATATTGCTGGAATATTGCTAAAAGCGGCGTAAAACCATACTCACTCACTCACCATATGAAGTGGCAGAAAGACAGTATGATGCTTTGCCAAGTATCGTAATCAAGTTCGTTTGTCAATTCATGGACATCTGCACCGAGAAAGAAAGAAAGCATATCATCATCGTCAAGCATATCTATTTTCACGTATACATCTACATCAAGTTTATCAATTAGGCATGAGAAGAAATTATTTCTGTCAGGCATAAACATTTCACAGTGCAAAATAATATGGCAATCATAGTCATAGCAATGTCTTTTGCAATGGTTACATTCTTTCGACACTTTTGCTCTTGATCCGATTTTAATACAAAGTTGCAGGGGTTGTCTTAGATGTGGATAGAGATACATTACATTATAAAGAACATGCATTTGTAACCGTTTATGAATTTTATGGTATCGTGAAAGATCCGGTCTCTGTGCTAGTCTCTCTCTCCAGATGTACTGTTCATTCTCTGATAGACGTCTGATTACAAGAGCTCGCCAAGCCGATTTTGTTGGGAACGAACCGCTATCAGTATATCCCTTTATATAGTTATCCAAATGGTATTTTTTAGCAGTATATAGAAGGATGTTGCATATGCTTACTGGACGGCTAATATTGACAAAAGCGTTGGTAGCAATGTGAGCACAAAATAGGTCTTTTGTTATTGTGTATATTTTGTATGTTTCAGATATTGCAGTAATTAACAATTATATATTGTATTTCTCATTTTAGGCTGCATACTTAAGTAGTTGTAAGTCAAGTATCAGCAATAAAGCCCAACTCTTTTGTTATGTTTTGCTTTGTGGGTCAGTCGACTTCTTGGTGGTCAATTAGAGTGTAAGCCCAGGCGTCCTCTTGATTGGCTAGTTTTATATCTCTGTGTCCCACTTTTTAAACACTTTGTTTTCACCCTGCACTTGACATTTACACTTCACTGTGCACTGGACTGAGAGAAAGGATTTACTTACATGAAGATTATCAAGAGGGATTTACTTTATTTTCGAGGGATTGTGACCATCCAAATACACCCCAGTGGGATTCACCGGGGTGTCGGTTTATCATCACAGAAAAAATAATGAACACCCAAGCCTGTGTCGTTATGTTTTGGCTACATATGCACGTATTTATGGCTCTCCATAAATTATGACAGTCAGGTTTATCTTTCACCAGTGCCGCATTTTCCAATGTACAAAAGGTGACATTAAAACCAGGTTGTACTGTACTAAAATTTGTACTTTACTAAAAGGGCGTAATCTCAAATATTACGTTTCTTACATACGTGCACGCACTATCATATGATCTTAAATAAGTGACATAGATGCAGGACACATTTCTTGTTCATTGCAATTGCATCAAGCTTTGTGAAGCATTGAAACTTCTGTCACAGACGTTAAGCAAACATGCTTGGTGTGTTTAATGTAGTATACGGCTTCAAACTCGATGTATATGTATCGATCTCGCTGCCTCAAAAGAAAAGTTCTTGGCAGACTTTGTTGACATGGTCAAATTACAGCACAGATCACATACCACAAGTGGAGGCTCCAGAAATGTGTCTCATATTCCCCCATGGAGCTTTGTGTCATAGTGAATAACTAGCCAAGTGTGATGTTCTAATACAGCCTCGATTATCTAGAGACTAACTTTCGAGCCAATAATCTGGAGAGTAAGTTACGAGCATCGTATATTACGGATGGCCTGTGATTAAATGACGTGGATTGAAATCTTTTGGTGCGGGACTTTCAGCATGCGTTGACGAGTTTTCGTGTGAATATCACCCACTGTCATTTAAAGAGCCAGTGTTTTAGTAAAAAGGGAGGGTTCAATGCCGCTTTTAGCAATATTCTAGCCATATCTTGGTGATGTGATAAACACTTTTATCATTTAACTAAAGCATTTATCCATGACATAAGCTTATGACATAAAAACATGTATGTCATACCCCAATGACATAAGTATGCAAATTAGATATGCAAATTAGATAACCCGAAGTGGGACTTTTTTTTGTCGGTGCACGTGAGTAGGTGTTTACAAACAACATGGATACCTTTGATGTTGGAGACATTATTTCAATTATTCTGCAAAAGTCTGTTCAAGTATTTTGTTTAAAATAATCCGAGGAATTATTTTTCTCAGCGAAGGAATATTCCATAAAGGAGTAAAGAGGTTGTTTATTTTGGTTTACACGGCTATGGAACTCATGTATCACTACGCACGATCTATACGTAAGATTTCGACAAGTTGCTGATGTTAATGTTTAATGCAATTATTCCTTAATTGGGAAGCAAAAATGTGAAAATGATAAATAGAATTCATCACTCGTGTTTTTTTAATATGGGAAATATCAACCTCGTCCCGTTAATCGGTATTTGCCTCGCCAAAGGCTAGGCAAATACCGATTAACTAAGACTCGGTTGATATTTCCCATATTAAAAAAACACTCGTGATGAATCCTCTGTGTACTAATCTGGTAAATAAAATCCGGGTCTAGTGTTCTAAACTAAGAGATTATGTCCTATTGTCCTCAGGAACCAACACTGTTACGTCATGTTGCCTCCATTAACCAATCAGTTTGAGAGCCTCTACAGGTCATATATGCAAATATCGGAAGAGTCTCTCATTCGATCCTTCAACCCTTATGGGTAGTTTTGCCATGTCAATTTTGAGATGTAACTGAAGCAACATATAGCAAGTGTTACATGGGCAGAAAAGACTTCGGCGTGGGTTGTTATTTCAGTTGCAATCGCTTGAAGGTCGTGAAGGACTGGTGTAGTCTATCAATATCGGGCGGTCAGGTAGCCTAGTGGTTAAAGCGTTCGCTCGTCACGCCGAAGACCCGGATTCGAATCCCGACATGGATACAATGTGTGAAGCCCATTTCTGGTGCCCCCCGCCGTGATATTGCTGGAATATTGCTCAAAGCGGCGTAAAACCAAACTCACTCACTCACTCACTCACTCTATCAATATCATCATCAATTAAACAATCAATCTCTTTGCCAGGGCAACTTTCAAGTGACGTATAGTTCTCCTAAATTTTGAAGGATCATGATTTTCAAGAGTTTCATTGTCTGTATCTCAAACTTTGTTACATGAAAACATCTCTTATTTTAAAGTAGCCTGTGGTCCCTTGTACTAATCTAAATTCTTGTCTCATTTTGATCCCTTCAAATTGGAATATGAAGAACCGGCGACATTAATTCATGGAGTCACCAAATTAAAGGACCTATATTAATTTGAGCTTTTCAACAGGTGAGATCAC